GCTAAAATTTCAAATATTAATTTATGGTCACTCGCTGCTATTGAAAAAAACAAATAACCAAAATTTTGAAGTTTCTAAAAGGGATCAAAGATATAATTAAATAATCAAAAATCCTTTGGTCTTTCCTCATGATAGCATAACTTTTTTGACAATAAATATGCTATTAAGTTCGGGCATTTTTCCATCATGGTTTGCTTATCGTATAGCGAATCTGTGGTGATACCTAAATATGTCTGTATGTGTGTATATACTGAAAATTAAAATACTTAATATACATACCCTAACACACACAAAAAAAATCTCTCTCTCTCTCTCTCATATACAATATATATATATATATTATTTACATTATTCGGACTATTGTCCTCATCTTTGTCGCCATATTTATTACAGCGTTTCGGCCTTCTTCAGGTGGTTGGAATGTCGAACTGAACCCTTTATTTCGCTCACTGGAGTAGACTGTTCTAGTTCCACGTGCCATGTCTAATGGATGTCAGTTATCAGTTATCTCCTGTTAATTTTCCCTCTGAAAGTTCTCCACTGCCTTACCCGGGTATTGAACTCACACTCTTTGGGTCTGTCACTGGATCTAACCAACGCCTTTATCCACTGTGCCTTGAGGACATCTGTGTATGAATTTCTGGGTATTATAAACCTAATGTTTCAGCAACCATTTTTATGGCGACAAAGATAAGGACAATAGTCCGAATAATGTAAATAATACCTCATCTAGAAAATAGACAATATATATATATATATATATATATATATATATATATATATATATATATATATATATAGTTTATGAAAAACTAGGTAATCCGTATGGGTAAACCTAAGGTGGATAAAATCCAGAGAGCTCAATGTAAATCCAGAGCAAATAATTTAAATAAAAACAGACCACTTTAAGGTTCCATTTAATAAATTATTTCACCACAGCCCTTTTAAAAGGACTGCGGATCATCAGACTTTACTTCCAAACAAAAAATGAAAAGAAAATTTACACATTTTTGACGGGCCGTATTAAACATATGTAAATTAACGAAGTGAGGAAGTGAGGGGAAAGAGAGAGAAGACGTGAGTGAGTTAGCAGATATTGACACATTTAAACGTTAAACTTAACGGAAGTTATATATTGAAATCGAAAGGGTAGAGAAGAAAAAAACTCATAGAGAGAAAAAAAGAGAAGGAAGTTAAGAGAGAAGAGAAGAGAAGAGAAGATGTCACTAATTTTCTTTGTAAAAAAAGCTAGAAACAGACGCTGTTATTTTGTTTTACTTTGAAAGTGTTATTTTGGCGGTTCATAAAGATTTTTTAAATTATATATATATATATATATATATATATATATATATATATATATATATATATATATTTATTTACAGGGTGTATTAAAAATAATTTTACAAAATTTGCGGGTGGATTCCTTACACCAAAACATGGAGAGAAGTCCGTGTATATAGTAAAGGCAAACGTCAGTGTGTCAGTGTGTCATACTTTTTCAACTTTACCCCTAGAGGCCGTAGCTCAACATATACCATTTTGGAATCAGGCCGACTCCGTGAGCAAATTAAAAACCTTCCGGTGCGGATCCAGACCCGCAATCCTGAAATTTTAGAATCCCAAGTTTTCGTTACTGCGATTGTTTTCGGCGATATTTTTACATGATTTTTTGCGACGTATTTTTATTGTACGATGACAATTTTTATAACTTGGAAATAAATTTGGGAATGATCAAAATTAATTGCAAAATCTAGCGAAAGTCACCCATGAAATAAAAAAAAATATTTGTACGAAAGTAAGGACCTACGTGCATCAAATCGTCTTTAAATCGTCTGCCGCCAGTTAATTTAAAGACAACTTGATGTGCGTAGGTCCTTACTTTCCGTACAAGCAATTATTTTTATTTTATGGCTGACTGATTTCGCAATTAATTTCGATTATTCCCAAATGTTTTTCCAAGTTATAAAAATTGTTATCGTACACAATATTTCGTCGCAAAAAAATCACTTAAAAATTCAATGAAAACAATCAATTATGAAAACTTGGGAATCCAAAATTTCATGATTGCGGGTCTAGATATGACCTGGAATGTAATTTGCTCACGGAATCAGCCTGATTCTAAAATGGTATAATATGTTGGGTTACGGCTTCTAGCGGTAAAGTTGAAAAAGTGTGACACACTGAAATTTGCATTTATTTTATAAATATATATTAGGAAAATGACTGAGAAAGTTGAAATTCTTCATGTGACTCGTTTTATCATTTTGTTCTTGATGTTTCAACTTATGTTAGTACACATACACACGAAGAAAAGGCGACCCTTAGAAGTTTAAAAAAATATATATATATGCTTGGGTAGAGATTTTCCAAGCGTTGCTTAGATGTGGCACAAGGCCGAAAGTATGGGGCATCCAGTGAGGATTGAACTCACTTTTCAGTAGTAACTGATCTAGCAAGGCAAGCTTGCTAACCATTACACCACACCGAGAGGCCCCAAAATGTGCTTGGGTATATAATTTACCAAATTTTCTTTAATTTTCTTTTCTTTTCTTTAGTTTTCCATCAATGTTGTTATTAAATAACCCACAATGTAATAAAAGGTGAAATGGTGGGAAAACCTGGACGCAAATTTACAGTGGATAATCTGGCGATTAAAGCACTTTCTATATACACGCTTTATAGAAAATTGATTTCACTTTTGATGAAAATAGCATTTTTTAAATTATGGCCAGACTCATTGTTCCTGTATATAAAAATGTATATATCTGTTTATCATATATAAATATAGATATATTTACTCACTCACACACACACACACACACACACACACACACACACACACACACACACACACACACACACACACACACACACACACACATATATATGTGTGTGTGTGCGCTTACCCTCATTGTGCATGTATGTCTTTTTTTTAAGAGTCGTGGAGATATTTCCTGTCTCGTCACTTTTTTTGCGTGTGTATATATCTAAATACATCTGCGTGTTTATGCATTATAATCTGATTGTGTATGTATTGTCTTTTGCAAGATGTCATCCTCCCCTGCCTCTGTTTATGCTTCAAATGTATCTATGTTGTCATGAAGTTCAGTGCAACACTTGATCTTAACATTTATTCCAACTTAATTTCAATAAAGACAAAGCAAATTGAATAACATTTTTCTTTTTTCTTCAGTAATTTTATAAATTTAAACTTAATATAGATTAAATTTAAATTTTAAAATGGGTAATTTTTAATTTTTAATTTTATCGTATAATTTAATATTTATTAGTTAGAATAAATTCTATTTTAGTCTAATCCCAACATTAAAGCATTAAATAATTATTAATACCTTAGCTCGTTGTCAAGTTTTTTGAATTCTTATATACTTGTATTTTGATTGGTCATTCATGCTTATATAACAGCGTTTCCCCGGGTGTTTGATTGGTTTGAACCATTTAAAACCCTTTATTCTACATTCTACGACTTGATAAGACACCAGAAGTGTTGAAACAAAATGGCTATTTTTGTAGTGATTTTATAACATATTTATGTTATAATTTTCGAATAAATAATTATATATATATATATATATATATATATATATATATATATATATATATATATATATATAAAAAAAAAAAAGAAATGAAAACTACAGACAAATGTTCATTTTCTCCAGCAAAAGACATTCATTTCTGTAGTTTAGTGCTACCAGCAAGCAGAAATATTTCTCCTCCCGATGATGACCATTTCGGTCGAAACTAGTCGAGGAATCTAAATGGAATAATAATAAAAAAAACGAAAGAATATTAATCTACAACCCAGTGTGTCTAAAGATTTTAATTTTTTTTTTTATTATTCAATATATATATATATATATATATATATATATATATATATATATATATATATATATATAACAAATAGGAAAAAAAACATTTTGTGACGCGTTTCGTCAGTTAGGATTTCATCGTACTGGGGTTTGTTTACGTTGATGCGCTTACACATTCGTATGAACGAGAGATGCTGAGAATTTTAAAATTTAGAAAGAATTTTTTTTTTTTTGCAATCTAGCCAACTTTATATAGATTCTTTCCTTTTTGTTTTCATCACTTTTGTTTTTAATTACATCATTTCTTTCAAAACTTTCCTTGATATATAAAAATTCATATAAAAATGTATGTATCATTACCCCCCATATATATATATATATATATATATATATATATATATATATATATATATATATGTGTGTGTGTGTGTGTGTGTGTAATTGATTGACATTTTCAGAAATCTTTGTTTTACTCGGGAAACTCTAATGAAGGTAGATCACCTTCTAAGACATTGTCATTGAGAGGTAACAAGAAAATATCTTGAAGAATTGGAATATCTCTGAAGTTTTGTTGGAATAAAGCCAAAGAAAAATCCTCGAAGTATAGCAAAATCAAAATGAAAATCTTTCCGAACCACCCCCAGCCCGCACTTCTCCCTATGAGACACCGTTTGGTATGAAGGCATTGACTGTCCTTTTGGACTGTCTATTTGTCAGTTCAATTGCTTGCGGTTAAAAATGCGTTGAAGATGATTGGAGAGTAGTCGGTCGTTCGAACGAGAATGGTAACTCTTTGGAAACCATTTGCCTTTCATCCAAAGACCTGATAGATCTCTCGATTCACTAGCAGCAATCGACTTCAGAAAGATCTAAAAATCTTGCAGCAATTCTGAATGTGTTTTTTTTTTTTTTTTTTTTGGTTTCTTCCTTCCTTTCTTCCTTCGTTCTTTCCTTTATTCTTTCTTTCTATCTTTTGGCATTTTTTGAAGGAATGGCAAAGAGAACGTCTTTTTGTTGTTGCTGTTGCGAGATTCGACGATGAAACGCGAAATTCTTTCGTCTTTTTTGACCGTTTCAATTCGATAGACTTCCAGGCAGAATTTTTAGACTTCGGTATATTTTCTTTCGTAAATTCTGTCCATCTTTCTTTTTCATTTTCATGAG